AGAATAAATCACCTCTAATGTTGGGTGTCGTACATGTGTGGATGTTGCTGCGTTATATAAATCTATGAGAATAGGTTTTCACATTTTAGAATGGGGTGCCTCAAGACTGTCCATAATTTTAAAGGGTGCCTTGACTGAAAAAAGGTTGAGAAACACTGGTTTAGAGGCATATTTTAAGCTCAAGGTTTAGAGGCAGAAAAAAAAAAATTTTGTTTTGTGTTTTTGAGAGCATATTTCTGGCAGAAAAAAATGCTAAATGCTCCTAAATGCTAGTGCAAAAAAATGCTCAAAATTAGAGGGTTTTTTTCTGCCAAGAGCACAGGCGTATTTTTCAAGTCAGTGTGCATGGACCCTTAATATGCTAAATTTTGATTTAAAAAAAAAAAAAAGATTCTTTTGTTAAAATAATTCATTGGTACCATAAACAGGCAAAGAACAGACCCGTCGAAGAAAGTTATTAGTCCTGAAGGGTTAGTTGCCTATCAAGAAGTGAAATTGTTCAAACCAGACTGCTTGTCAAAGACCCCACCACCTAAAAACCAGCCTAGAAGGTCCATTTATTTGGGTAGCATAGCGGGCCAAGAAAAAAAACTGCACATGTACATGCTGTATAGTTCATTTGGTTGACCTGTGATATTCCCCCAGGCTCTGTCTTTAGTGGCAAAACCCAAAATTTAAACATAACAGGCACACAGAATTAAATGTCATTGGAGGCCACTCAACTGATTCCCAGACAGCAGAGTTCTTGACTATATTACTGATTTTTAACAAGCCCCATTGTGTTCAATGGGTGGAGAGACCTTCCCCCAGAAATAAGACAGTGGGGTCTGCTATTTATTCACAAGCTTCTCTCATTTGCTTACAATAAATGAATCATCATAGTATCCAAAAATACTCCTTATAGTGTTGGGATCCTCTCTCCTACAGGTCTGGGTAATCTCCTGGTATGTTTTTTTCTCAGTTCATTCATTTTGAACATTATTATTATTAATATTATACAGTATTTATAAAGCGCCAATAGTTTGCTCAGCGCTGTACATTACAATGGGGGACAGAACATGTGACAGAACAATACCAATGCAATGCAAAACATGAGGGAATTGAGGGCCCTGCTCTTTCGAGCTTACAATCTAGGAGGGAGGGGATGGTAGCACAGGAGGAGATAGCTGTGGGGGATGGAGTGGTAGGAAGAGTGGAGGAGGTTGGCAAGTTAGCAGGGGGTGGGGTAGGCTTCCCTGAAGAGGTGGGTTTTCAGAGTGCGCCTAAAGGTGAGGAGAGTAGGTGATAATCTGATGGGTTGGGGCAGGGAGTTCCAGAGGATGGGTGACACCCTGGAGAAGTCCTGGAGGCGGGCATGGGAGGAGGAGACCAAGGAACTAGAGAGAAGGAGGTCTTGTGAGGATCGGAGTGTGCGTGTTGGGTGGTACTTGGATATTAGGTCAGTGATGTAGTTCGGGGCAGTATGGTGGACAGCTTTGTACGTCAGTGTTAGGATTTTGAATTTGATTCATTGTGCAATCGGAAGCCAGTGGAGAGAGTGGCAGAGGGGGGTGGCATAAACGGAAAAGGTGAATGAGTCTGGCAGCCGTATTCAGGATCGACTGAAGTGGGGATAGCCAGCGGCGAGGCAGGCCAGTGAGGAGGGAGTTGCAGTAGTCGAGTCGTGATATGATGAGGGAGTGGATGAACATGTCTTAATACCACTCCCCCTATAGATTATAGTAGGACTGTATCAGCAGGGGCACTTTGATAGTAGTGTGTGGTTTCACATATACAGTATCCTTGTACAAATACATGTAACTAGCATCTCTTTTTATTATGACATTAGAAACAGGTTAGCCCAAAATCAGGTTTTTGGTACAGTTATAAATTATTTCAGTTTTTTTATTTTTATGTGCAGCGGCTTCTGGTGAAGTCTCCTTAATCCCGATTCCAGGAAATTAGAAAATGATCCCTTGTAGTGGGGCCTAATTAAGAGTTAATTGCTTGTTTAGCATAAGGAAGAGTGCTTGCCCGATCCTTGGTTCCCCAGGCAGGCAGCACCCCCCCATACTCCAGCAATAGACTGTCCCTTGATGTCATCACGTCCTGTGCAGGGCTACAGACCATGTATTGGTCTTGATGGTGTCAGGACCTTTAGACTGCAGGAGTGTAGAGAAGATGAACTGGGGACTGGTCTAGCAGTGCAGAGGAGCAGAAGATTGGGGAAGTAAGTCCCCCTAGTCCTAAATGAGCAAGGAACCATAGCAGTACCCAAGCAGTCCCACTGCAAGGGACCATTGTCAAGTTTTCTGGAGTTGGGCTTTAATTATTTCCTTGTAGCACCACAGTAAGTAATGAGAGGAATGGGGGTCAAATAGACATAAAGGAGCTGATTGAACCTGTGCTACTATTAGCAGCTGCCAGCAGGTTTGATTATACCTGTGATGGAGTGTCCATGGTGCTAATCACAGCCTAGCTTTAATCTGCAGTTAGCTGTAGTTTTTCATTTCTGAATGAGATTACCCCATAAGGTCTGGTTCACACCTGTGTGTGTTGCGATTGATGCACTTTTCTGCAACGTTTTGCAGTGTGTTTTGTGGGGGGGTTTGTCAATAGGAAAGTATTGACTGCGAATTTAATGCAACTTTACACTCTCTGGCACTCAAAGTTGCACCAAAGTAGTGCAAGAACTTTTTCAAAGTCGATGCACTACTTTGACGGGACTTAACTGCCAGAGAGTGTAAAGTTGCAGCAAAGTCGCACTCAATACTTTCCTATTGACAAAAACGCGTCAAAAACTCACCAAAAACACAACAGTTGCATTTTTGGTGATGTTCCATTGACGTCTATAGCACCAAAATGCAATCTTCTGCGAGAAAAAACTCTCTGACCCCTTCCAAAAACGCAGCAGCTGAAATCGCACAGATGTGATCCTGTCTTATAGGAAACCATGTTAAATGGACACTAGTGCATTTCTGCAAAGCCCAAAATGCACAATAAAATGCATAGGTGTCAGCCAGGCCCTAGATTGAGGCATAAACTGCCTAATAAGACTGTGATCGTTATAAAGCACACAGTATCCAACAACATAAAAGCAAACTATAGGTACAGTATGTGGGGTTAATGTGTGTAATAGTGCTTCTATATGCAAGAAATTAAGATTTAAAGGATATGCATAGCACTAAACCAAAACAGAAGCCAGTTATCTGTGTATCTGCTGGTTTTTGTTACATATGCACAAATGACTCCTGTCCTCTGCCCTGCCAGCAGTGACCCCTGTCCTCTGCCCTGCCTGCAGTGACCCCTGTCCTCTGCCCTGCCAGCCGTGACCCCTGTCCTCTGCCCTGCCAGCCGTGACCCCTGTCCTCTGCCCTGCCAGTTGTGACCCCTCTCCTCTGCCCTGTCAGCAGTGACCCCTGTCCTGCCAGCTGTGACCCCTGTCCTCTGCCCTGCCAGCCGTGACCCCTCCTCTGCCCTGCCAGCCGTGACCCCTGTCCTCTGCCCTGCCAGCAGTGACCCCTGTCCTCTGCCCTGCCAGCGTGACCCCTGTCCTCTGCCCTGCCAGCCGTGACCCCTGTCCTCTGCCCTGCCAGCCGTGACCCCTGTCCTCTGCCCTGCCAGCCGTGACCCCTGTCCTCTTCCCTGCCAGCCGTGACCCCTGTCCTCTGCCCTGCCAGCCGTGACCCCTGTCCTCTGCCCTGCCAGCCGTGACCCCTGTCCTCTGCCCTGCCAGCATTGACTCCTGTCCTCTGCCCTGCCAGCCGTGACCCCTGTCCTCTGCCCTGCCAACATTGACTCCTGTCCTCTGCCCTGCCAACATTGACCCCTGTCCTCTGCCCTGCCAACATTGACTCCTGTCCTCTGCCCTGCCCGCAGTGACCCCTGTCCTCTGCCCTGCCAGCAGTGACCCCTGTCCTCTGCCATGCCAGCAGTGACTGCTGTCCTCTGCCCTGCCAGCATTAACTCCTGTCCTCTGCCCTGCCAGCAGTGACCCCTGTCCTCTGCCATGCCAGCAGTGACCCCTGTCATCTGCCATGCCAGCATTAACTCCTGTCCTCTGCCCTGCCAGCAGTGACTCCTGTCCTCTGCCCTGCCAGTTGAGACCCCTGTCCTTTGCCCTGCCAGCAGTAATCCCTGTCCTCTGCCCTGCAAGCAGTGACTCCTGTCCTCTGCCCTGCCAGTTTTGACCCCTGTCCTCTGCCCTGCTGTCCCCTATCCTCAGTGCTGCTGACCTCTGTACACTGCCCTGATGACCTCCCTATTCTCTGCCCCCCCCCCTCCCCCCCCCTCGACATTTTTTATTGAACTCCCACATCAGACTGGCTAGATCCAGCCCTGTATTCCCTTATATTGCAGTGACTGTTATTATATATATATTCATATTCAGGAAATATCTTGCTGGCTCTTTACATTGGGATCTATGTATGACGTTGATAAAGGCCAAAGACATTGTATCTGGTGCTGTAGGGTTACATTCCCCAAATGCTGCTCTTTTCTTTTCATCATTTGTTCTTTTATCTCTGGCACCAATATTTTTGGCTACACTGCTATAATGAACAACCAAGAGGATCCTGAAGAAGCTCTTTTTTGGGCAAAACGCGTTAATCCACCTGTTCTACTTTTGTCTCATTGTATATTTTTCATGTTGGAATTGCAGCTGATAATATATGCTTTTATAATGTGTCTATTTTAATATGAAAATAAAAATGTGCTTTTATTGATGTTTTTCTCAGTTTGAGTGATATTTAGGCACATAAAAATCGCAATGTTTCCACAGCCCAGCCCCTTGCAGGCCATATTGGGAACCCTTGATTCTCCATTTGACTTTATAAGGGATAGTATCATATATTCATGTGACAAGCCCACCATTCACTATATAGCCATGTCATACTTACGCTTAGGGCAGTATGTGCCCAGGATGTATAAGGTATAATGGTGGTGCTGAGAGGCATGAACGGTCAGCTTGGTCATCCACATTTGTAGGCCAAATTATCTGAAGATCATGGGATCTCTCTATTTCTGCAGGTCTTCCTGATGATTTGATCCAGAAAGGAAAAGATGTGAAGAGTGTGACAGAAATTGTGCAGACTGGGAATCACTTTGTGATCAAAGTGACCACAGGGCCCAAAATCCTACTTAATGAGTTCACTATTGGCGAGGAGACTGATTTAGAAACACTGACTGATGAGAAGATCAAGGTACACATGTGAAGCTGTATTCAAAGCTATAGTTTATTCTGCTTATACTTCTTTTCAATATGTTTTGTTTTGTTTTAAAGAGAGATACAAATCAGTGTTCAAATTGATGCCTAAAAACTGCAACCAATATACTGACAAAGACATGATCATTACATAAATCATACAAACAGTAAGGTGCCACTGTCAATGATTGGTCAATATAGCAAAACAATGAAGGAGATGGCAGCCATAAGGCCGATAATATTGATTAACCTGGGGGACAGACATGGTATCTGTCTGGTAACGGAAACTTAGGTTCCATTGGAAAAAGAAATAGGAAGAAAAGAAAGGGGGAGAGGAATGGGAGGGGGATGTGACACAGGGAGTGTTCCTCTCACTGGGAGGCCACTTATGTGATTGTCAGGCTCGCCAAAGGAATCGATGGATGTTGGCATGTGAGCCATGGGCTCTAGGTTTGAAGAAATTTAGCATGAGTATTAGTAAGAATACTAGTCAATTGCTCATTAAAAATAATGCCAACCAGGCGAGAGCCACCTTCTGAAAAATGGGTGAATTGCCTCTTCCACCCCTTAGAAATTGTAAGTTTAGACGTTAGTAGGACAAAGTGGACCAACTGAAATTGGCGTTTAGTAATGTTCAAGGGTTTAAAGTGCAGGAGGGCCAGCCAAGGGTCCTCAGTAACCGATGTTCCAAGTAGTGAGCGCAACAGCGAGAAGACCCTGGTCCAGAAGTAACCCAGCAAAGTGCAGGTCCACCAAATACATAGAACATCACAAGGGGTCTGGCATTATTCTGCTTATATTACACATTGTTCTGGCAAATCTAAAGCTGACCAAACCCTATACAATCTGAATGAAAAATCTCCTTGCGATCTACAATCAACTGTGTAGTGCCTGATTGGATACAAATACAATTCATTGCTTAGGTTTGTCCTCATGTTGCATAGTTTTAGTAGATCTAAAGAAGACTGTACAGAGGTTGTACAATCAGGTTGTATAGCATATGAACCGCTTATGGACCCTTTCACATGGGCTTCATCCATTCACTTCAGCAAGCGATCCATGAGCAGATCCCTTGCTAAACTGGAGCAGAACGGGCAGATGTCCTTTTTTTTTTTACAGCCATACCTGTTCGGTTTGTGTCCACAGGTTGACATTGGACGTGGCGGACCCGTGATGACTCTATGGGCATCCAGATGTAAACAAACATGTCTTTGTTTACATCAGGCTACCTCTGTCATTATTATTATTATTATTATTATTATGCAGGATTTATATAGCGCCAACAGTTTGCTCAGCACTTTACAATATAACAGGAGACAATACAGCAACAATACAGTTCAATACAACAGGGTTAGGAGGGCCCTGCTCCTTGGAGCTTACAATCTAAGAGATGTTTAGATCCAGAAAAACCAAGAAGGATGCAGTTTTAATTTTCTAGACCTGGATAGTCTTCTGATCCATTTATGTGCACTGGCCCATAAACCCACACAAGACCCTTAATAAGATGGACCTAATTAGAAAGCCCATTTGAATGGACCCTTAGGCTCAGTTCACATCTAAGTGTTTTGAATTTCGGGCAGAATTGTCGCGATTCTGCCTTCAATTTAAAAACACTCTACTAAAATGACAAATCGCAGTATGCAAATTGCAGATGCCATTCATTTTAATGGCAACCAAAAACGAGGTGCAGCTCTGCTGTGATTGTCATGCAACAAATCGTGCTGAAATCACAGCAAACTGCATCGGGTGAAGCTTGTCACCCAAAAGAAGCTCCTGCTCTATTTTGGCGTCAAACCTTTTCTTGATGCTGTTTTCTGCGATTGCAGCGCGATTTATCACATGACAAACCCGGCAGAAGCACACCGCATATTTAAGTGCCGTTAAAATGAATGGCATTTGAAATCTACATTGTGCAATTTTTTATTTTAGGAGAGCACTTTGAAATCGCCTGCGATTGAAAACGCCCAGATGTGAACGGAGCCTAAGGGTTCTTTCAAATGGGATTCAAAATGCACAGATGTGAATGGAGCCTTAAAGACATTGTGAAATTAGATTGTAAGGTCTATGGTCACCGCAAACTGGAATATCAGTTTCTATTGGAATTGGCTTTTGAGCACCTGTACGCATATTCCTGTTTGTAGAAAGATATCGGGTGCCCCTTTTCCCAAAAATAACAGAAATTGCAGTTCATCAAAAAAGAAAAAAAAATGAAAGGAAATCTGTACTGAGATAAAGATGCAGGATGCAATTGCTGAAAATGCACATTACCGGGCCACCATGTTCTCATGGCTTCAGTCCCTTCTGGATCATTGGCCTGGACAAAGTACACGGACTGGGAGTTCTTGCTGCGCTCTGATATTTCTGATCTGCAGGCTTGTTCCGGGTCAGTAAGTACTGCAGCCACAGGCAGCCAGGAAGCTAGCATTTCCAGACAAAGGTCTGCCTCCATATTTCTCATGTTTGATTGATAAAACATTTATTTATAAAAGGTAAAAGAAATATTATTTATAAAAACATAAAGATTACATACTCTATTGTCTGTTTCAGACTACCGTCAATCTAGAGGGTGACAAGCTTGTCGTGAAACTGAAAGGAGTCACCTCTGTCACCGAACTTTCTGGCGATCTTCTAACCAATGTAAGATTTGTGCGATAATCCATACCCGACGTCAGGGCAGATATAAAAGATACAAATGGATGCAGCTCTGGAATCATTATAATGGAATAGAATGCAAACGCTGGTGGGCAGTGGAACGACAGTATTGCTGATACTGATAACCAAACTTCATTGATATGTCCCACAGTCAGGGGTGTCCCTAGGATTGGTGTCACCCGGTGCGGTAACACTTGGTGACACCCCCTCCGACGATCCCCGCAGAATGGATCAGATCTGCGGATTGAACATAATGGATCGGACTCCGATCCATTATGCTCCCCAATCCGCAGATCCGATCCAACCTGCGGGGATCGTCAGCTTTCTTTACAACTTACCTTTTCATGGAGCGGGTCCAGTGTCACCCCATATAGGTTGCATGCCGACGATCCCCGCAGGATGGATCGGATCTGCGGATTGAGCATAATGGATCGGAGTCCGATCCATTATGCTCCCCAATCTGCAGATCCGATCCATCCTGCGGGGATCGTCAGCTTGCTTTACAACTTACCTTTTCGTGGAGCAGGTCCTGTGTCACCCCGTGCGGTAGGTGTCACCCGGTGCAGCGCGCACCCCCATCGCACCTGCCTCGGGATACCACTGCCCACCGTTACACTTAAAGTGGAGTTCCACCCAAAAGTGGAAGCTCCGCTTGTTTGCCTCCTTCCCCCCTCCACTGCTATATTTGGCACCTTTTGACAGTTACAGGCTCCTTCCTCCCACAGTCTCCTGGTAACCTTCACAGGTCCCAGAAGACGGCCGGACCAATCAGGATGTGCAGCGCGACTCGCGCATGCGCAGTGGGCACCCGGCTGTGAAGCTGTCACAGCCTGGTGCCCACAGTTGAGATGCCGGTGCCAGGGAGAGAAGAGGGAAAGAAGGGGCGGTGCAGAGCCATACAAAGCAGCGTGCTGGAACTGAGAGGGGAGAGATCTGTATTCTTTACATACAGACCTCTCCCCAGTCAGTGATACTCGGTGATCGCCAGTTGGCGGCGGGTAGTCACCGGCCGGGACCCGGTGATCAACAGCTGTAGCTGCTAATGGAGGCGTGAGTAGCACCCCTACCCAGACATGCAATATCACGCATATATACATGCTGTCTGCCATAGGGCGGCTGGCAAGCGGTTAAGGTCCAGTGTGCATGAGGCCTTACAAGACACAGAATTTGAATCCAACACAGTTTTACTTCAGATAATTGCAGTACATGGGATGTTTTCCAATTCTTTGAAGTGTAAGAAGACACTGGGGTTGACTTCCTAGAAGTAAATATACTGTGTACTGCAAGTGCAGCTGCTTTAGATCCGAGGGGAAGCTCTGAAATGAGGTGAAGCTCTGCTGATTTCTTTCATCCGATCATGTGCAAGTAAAAATGCTGGTTTTTTTTTTTATTTTCCTTGCATGTCCGCCTCAGATCTAGAGCCACTGCACTTTCACTTGGAGTGCACAACCTATTTGCCTTTAGTAAATCAACCCCACTGACTTGCCTGAGTCCTGTCTCTGCAAAGGACTAACACTCACTGAGGGAACATGGAAGAAACAGGGACAGAAAGGGAGGACAAACCATGAAGTAATATAGTTGGAATGGTCCAAACCCACCGCACATCAAGCAATAGTAACTTGATTCAGTTCAGTACAGCAACGGAAAAATACATGTGGGTGAGGCAGAACAAGTGTCATTGAGACAGGGAAATCTCCCCAATGGTGTCATAGACAGCAATACAAATCTGAAAGGGGCTTGAACCATAAAAAATAATTCTGTCTGAAGTTGGGTTTGATCAGAAGTAATTGCATGTGACATCAGGCTAGGTTAACACCTATGCAATTTGCATTTAATCCGTTTCTGCAGTGCGTTTTGCGTTGCGTTTTTGCACATTTGTTTTTGATGCGGGGGGGGGGGGGGTTTCTTGTTGCTAGGCATATTTAAAATGCAAAAAGGCAGCAAAAACACATTACATGCTTTTCTGTATCATTTCCATTGCAGTCTATAGAGCCAAAAATGCAACTTTTTGCATTTAACCACTTGCCGTCCCGCCCATGTATATAAACGGCCGGACGGGAGCAGTGCAGAGGCGGATGGCCGTTTTTAAACATTCTCCCCACTCCCTGCTTGTGTGTGCTGCACCACAATCAGGTGACCACTCTGTCCTCTGGAAACAGTGGAGCAGTGGAACACCAAACGCTATACGAGGTCCTGATCATGTGTTCACTGATTGGCCAATCAGTGATCATATGAATAGTAGTAAGCAAGATGTCACTTCTGACATCATTGCTTACTACTTGTGAAATCTGTGAATGATCACAGAGGTCACATGGTACAAGGCTATTCACAACAGCCTTATACCATGTGACAAGTTGTGACCAATCACAGCTCACACAGTATTTCTCAATGGCTACAAGAATGCAGCCAGAGAGAAGGAGAAATGATTGCTATTACAGCCTTAATGGGTGTAAAAGCAATCAGTGTAAAAAAAAAAAAAATCTTCATCACCCCCCACAAGTAGTACAGTGTCACCATGGTGTCATTGAGACAGGGAAATCTCCCCAATGGTGGGAATTGACACTGTACTGCTAGGGTGACAAGTAAGTTAAAAAAAAACATAAATAATAATATAAAAAAAAATAAAATACAAATGTCAAAAAAATTTTTTAAAAATTATAATTTTTGAATATAAACTAATTTGGGTTATTTTTTTTTTACTAAAAAGATAGTTGAATACATTTTGGCCAAGATATATGAAGAAAGATTATTTATTTGCAAAATGTTATAAGAAAAACACTTTTTTTTTCAAAATGTTTGGACTTTTCCACTTATATAGCAGAAAAATAAAAATCCCAGTGGTGAATAAATACCACCAAAATAAAGTTTTATCTGTCTCAAATAAATGCTAAACAAATTCATATGGGTACAGTGTTGCATGACCGCGCAATTGTCATTCAAAGTGTGATAGCACTGAAAGCTGAAAATTGGCCTGGACAGGAAGGGGGCTGAAAGTGTCCGGACTTGAAGTTGTTAAAAAAGTCCGTGACCCTTTCCAAAAAACGCACAGGGTGAAAACGCGGAGATGTGAACCTGTCCCATAGGAAATCATGTTAAATGGACTGTAGTGCGTTTCTACAAAAACGCTGTGGAAAACGCTTAGGTGTGAGCCTAGTGTCAGAGTAAATTCAGAGTATATGTTTTTTACATCATTTTTTTTGATTAATAATGAGTAAACTCCGTCTGTTGTTTTCTTTCAGGTTATGACTGTAAAAGACATCGTCTACAAGAGAGTCAGCAAGAGAGTCTCCTAGGACAGCCAACGTTTCTTATTTTTACTGTGTAAAATAAAGATTTCTTATTAAAAAAAACCCAAAACTGTCTACTTTGGCGTGAATAGCAAAAAAATCACAAAACTGTTTGGGGCAGATGAGGGAAGGGAATTTATTGCAGCTTCTTTCATCTTTGGGGAGATTCCCCCCCAAATCCTGTCAGGACTGGAAGTGTTTTCCTATATGTATTCCAGGTATAGTTCACACCGAAATTAATGGTGCAGCAGAAACAAAAGTTTAAAAAAAAGCATCTATTTCTTTTCAGGAATAAAAAAAACACTGCCATTAAGCTGCTGAAGGCCTCTTGCAGGGCCGCGGATAAGGGGGTACCACCAGTCCTCCTGTATAGGGTCCAAGCCAGCAGGGGGGCCCAGGCAGCTGGGTGAATCGGATGTGGGCAGGGAGGGTGATCGGCACGGTGGGGGGGTAATTACTGGATTACTGGAACCGATCCTCTGTATGACTCTCTCCGCAGCAGCTGAAAGCTGGCTTTTCCTCCTCTCGTTACCCACTGGCTTTCAGCTGCTGTAGAGAGAGCCATACAGGGGATCGTTTCCAGTAATTGCCCCCCACCACACCCATCACCCTCCCTTTGCACTATACATTTCCCCATGCTTCCCAGGCACCCCTGTGTGCCCCCCACTGTGCTGCTGGCTTCCCTCCTCACATTTACCAGCCCCTACCTTTCCTGAATGAACACAATGAGTGATCAGTACCAATCACTGTGTTCATTCATAACTGAAGCATGGTAAACTTTGTTCTCTTTGGGCCCTGTGGTTTCTGACAGCAGCCCTGGTCTCTTGCACATGGTCCTGATGTTTGAGCATCTGCTTTTTTGGACGTACTTTTCAGGAGTTTATTTTACGCATATTTGCTTATATTCCTGCACTTATTTGTGCGTGTTTGCGCATTTGTGCGCACAATATATTCTTAGGGAAAACTCTAATATTTATCCTCATATGTACGTATTTGTGTGCATTTGCGTGTTTTCGCACGCACCATAAATTACTGATCAAAAATGCTGATTTTTCATTTTTTTTTACTGAGAGGAATACGCCAGGCTTGTTTAGGCGCCTGTGCGCACAGACACATTGTAAATAATGGGCTACATTTTACCTCAGTAAAAAAAAACAAAAAACAAACGTTGTACTGAGCTTTTTCAAGCTGCAGTGTGCAAGAGGTGTAAGTGTACATGGTCTCTGGGGTAACAGGAGAGTTGGGAGGTTTCATGTCATTAGAGATGGCAGTCCATTTTGGGTAATCACCCCCCCCCCCCCCCCGAGTGGTAGACCTGCCCTGCCTCCATGTCCAAATATAATTATAAACAATGCATAACAGAGAGCCTATAGGACCCTGGTGCCCAACCTGCGGCCCGAGGTCCACATGCAGCCCTTTGGTACATGATGTGCGGCCCTTGGACCTCAGCAATCTGTAGTGGGAACATTGATTAGATTAATAGTAGTGATCTCTTCTAGCCAAATGTAACATATTCCCGGCTTTGTGTTGCCTTCTGCAGCATATCCCAGCCAAACATGTACCATGTCCACACTCCCCGACCCTCATTTCCTCTATGAGGTCTTCAATTTCTGACAGTCCTCTCAGGTATTGCATATGTTGAACATTATGTGCGTCCCTTTGGTGATGTCAGGAGCTGAATTTGAGGCCCCCTTTAGCTCATAAGTTGACAAGTAC